CTACAGGGACTCTGAATGAATCTCCATAAATTTCTCACCCAACAGCCTTTCTCTTCCCCACAGTAGAAGCATTAGGAATCATCCACTCTCCTATCAGAACCAGGATCCTGGCCCACTCAGTACTCATCACAGTTCTTTTAGTAGACCCAGTGTGGTTTGTACCTTGCAGTTGACTGTAAATAACTACTAGTACCCAGCAAACAAAGAGCTCTCTCGAAAAGCACCACTTAACAGTAGAAGTTCATTTGAAACAGTGGTTAAAAATGCCATGAGTTGTTTGGGTTTTTTTTGTCATTTTGGTTTTGTTTTAAAATGCCACTGATGCTGTTCCTGAAATGCCTAATAAGTGCCTGTTTGAGCTCATCTCCGATCTGTATCATCTCATAGTTTGTCTTCAGCCCTTTTTCTCATTTCATGTTTTCATTTCCAAGCCTAAGATTGACACAGCCAGGCAGGCAGTGGCTTTGCCTACTTATGGCTCAAGTGGCATTATTTTATTTATCTGAAGCTTTTTATCTTCGGCTTTCTTATCTTTTGGTCCTTACTGCACTTCCTCTTTAAGCCAAGTTGCTTTGGTGCAACTTAACTCTTGCAGTTCAAGCTCGTAAGAATTACTGAACTGCGGGAGGAAGTCCTGTCACCCAGAGCGTCAGAAAAGAAACCTGTTCCAAGGCTCCCAGGGTTAAGAGTAGGACAGACCTGGAGGACTTGCATGTAGGCTGCAAAGCTGCTTAATTTCTGCAGTATCAGCCTTGGTGCACCTCTTCTTATCTACACACTTATACAATGATCTCTGAGGGCTGCCAAGTTCCTTCCACTGCCTTCCCAGGAAAACCTACTCCTGACTGGTCTATGGCCTGTAAATACATAAATGGCATTGACACTCTCACTGAAATAACCGTGACAATCTCACTTAAAATACGAATACACCTTCCTAAAGTAAACATCGAAAGTATTTAACATGCTACTGACAACTGAACATACTCTGCAGTCCCAATACAATAATTTCTTCAAACGTTAAACTGAAAACCAATACTTAAACTAATGACAAACAAAGCAATCGCAGTACCAATCCATAGCAAAAGAGAAGTTAAAACTAAAAATGCCACATTATATCTTTTGAAATTTTTCGGTTTAATCTGAGACGTTGAATTTTTAAAAACCCACTACACAATAATCCAGTACAAGTTAGACATGTGTTTGGTTATTAGGCTAGGAAATTAACTAAATGGCCATTTCAGACTGACAAATTAATCTTTAAATTTCAGGAAGGTGTTCATTGCTATATGGAATCTGAACAAGATTTGGTTTCCTTCAGCATTTATTAGCATATTTTGATGGTACATGGTCAAACTTGGGCAAAAACAGAAAGTGATTAATTTTGATGAGAACAAGAAGAAGATATCCAATAAGCTTTTATTTGCCTCGTATCAGTTAAAAGGATCTAATGGGAGGGCAAAAAGAAAGAATATACACACATATACAGACTGGGTCCCTGAAACCTTATCAAAGCATAACACAATGCTTAAATGCTCTTTTTCACCCTTAATGCTTAAACACTCATAAAAGAACTGCATGTGAAACTCTAGATCCACCTAAACTAATATGTTTGGACAGTCGGATTTCATTTTTTACAAATAGTGTATTTCACTAGTCAATAATTAATTGTAACTGACATGAATGGAAACAAACTCCTATTTACTACAAGCGAAGCTTTTACACATACTGCGTAACAAGGTATAGCTGTTTTTTACAACTATCCAAAACTTCCTGTTCATTTTTTGATTTCTGACTTTATTCAGAATCTGCAATCCATAGTTAAGTAATCCACATGAAAGTAACATAAGCAATACAAAAAGGAAAAGTAAAGACAAAGGAAGAAAAAAATTACTTCTCTGTTTCCAGTTGTGCTTTTTCTGCCTGAGTCCTTGCATGCTGACATTCTTGTTTCAATCTTTCTATTGTTTCCTTCATCTTCTGATTAGACTCCAGCAAATCATTTTCTGACTGAGAAAGAGATGCAAGCTGGAGTTGCATGTCGTGAATTTGCTACAACAAAAAAAAAAGACATTTTTCCATTTGAGAAGGTATGCAAATAACTAACAATTACTTTTGAGATACTGAGATAGAGCAAAATGCAGACACCAACTGGCTGCATTAGCTTTTCATAAGCCTTTCTTATTTGTCCCTTTTCTCCTTACTCAACAGCTTCTCCAGAAGCTTTACAGTAAATCACTACTAGACAAAGGTTTTCTATTGTAGTTAAGATGAGAAAGGGAAAGGGAGGCAAGAGTCTCCAGCCACTGACGTGTCCCCCAGAACTTAAGAAATCCAACATGAAGCCCAGGGCGGAGCAGAACTAGGGCACCACACAAGGTTTAGTAGCAGAGCTGTGGAGCCACCCAGCCTCTTGTAACGTGCAACACCTTACAGCCAGCAGTGGCTGTATCAACCAGTTCACAAAACCAAGTATGGAGTCTGAAAAGTCCAGTTGCTGCAGGCAGCACATACAAAGGATGATTTCCCTTTCCTTTCCGCTCCCCACATGGACACTTAGATATCCCAATTTCTGATTTCAGGAGGAAAAAAAGAAAAATTGCCTTGAACTTCAAATGCACACAGCTTGCAGACTCCTTTGATGCACAGCTCTGTTCTTACCTACTAAATAAAATGATGGGCAAGCAGGAGTTAAAATAATTAGTTTTTATTTTCAACACTGCCATCAATTCACTCTGCAATAGAAATATACCTCTTTACACTAGTTTATTCATTTAGGAAACATCTGCTAAGCACTTGAAGAACCTCAGATGAGAGATGCAGTGTAAATGCAAAGCATTACCTAGAAACAATTTATAAGTCTCCATGGAAACTGAATCTCCAGTTAAATAGTGCATAACCGTATTCAATATACCAGTCTACAAACATTCAGCTTTGAAATCCTTGGTACCCACACAACGCATGAAGCAAAAAGCTGTGATCCATTTATAAAGGTCCAGAAAAGCATGACTGATTTCTGTCTTAAATATCTATCTTAAATATCTTCACTCTTAAATATCTGTCGTACGCATTTTGTCCCTCAGGAAAAAAAAAGCCTTAAAAATTCAATCTAATCTTCAAGCACTGGACATGGTAACTGCTGGAAAGATTGTTATTTCTCTGTAAAACATTACAAGGCAATAAAACCTTACCTGTTTCAGATCAGCACTTTCACGTTTCTTTTCTTCCAACTCCTCTGTGTGAATAGCTTGCTGTTGAATTTTTAATCTAAAATTGTATAAGACATCCTTATTTTTATCTAACTAAAATATCGATGTTTGAAGTTAGGACAAATCAGTCTGACAATAGGATATTTTGCATAATTGGAAAGGCTGATAAATATTTATATTTAACTAAACAACGATTAAAAACATATTTTTATTGATTTTATTGATTTAGAATTTGTATAGGAGTAAGAAATACATTGATTTGTTTGCTTTTGGAGCGTGACTTCTGCTCATTTTATCATACTGACCTTCATACAAATACTATAGTAAAACAGCTTCACAGAGAACTATAACAACCAACTCAGAGATATCGTATGAGGGTCCCAGTTTGCCAGTCACTGACATGGTGCCATTGTGGAAAGAGAAACAGTTTACTTTAACGCTGGGGCTACGCCAGCAGCCAGCATGGACCCAAATACAACAAATATAGGTATTGCAAAATTATGTCTTAAAAATCTTCATTAAAATAATACAATTTTTAAAGGTTTGCATGACAAATGTTGATTTTTTTTAAAAAAAAGTAAAAAAATTTTTTTTTTTTTTTATTCTGGTCTCTTTTTACACAATGCAAAAGAGAATTTTGCTTAATTCACCATAACGAATGTTTGTGTATCTATGAATAGTAAACTTTTATACTGACTGGTGTAAGAACTTGGGGGGGGCGGGGAGAGAAATTTGTGTTGTTAGAAAAGCCACACTACCGCAAACGCTGAAGTTCCTTTTTGCTAGATTCTTCTGCAATCTGTACAACACGTAGTTTCTCTTCATACTGATCCTTTTCAGATTGTCTCCAAGAATCTTGTTCCAGCTTCATCTTCTCTAGATCAGCTAATCTGTTCTCGAGTTCTAACCTGAGACGTTATTCAACATGCACACAACAATCACGACAAAAATGCCAGAAGTGTTTAATAGCCAAGAGTGACATTTGTAAAAGTTACTCAAAACACTCCTCTTTCAGAAGTTGAGCAGTAAATCAACGAACATACTTTTCATCCTGTAAGGCTGCAATTTTTTCAAAAGCTTCCTCTTTGGCAGCTTGCACTTTACGAATTAGCTCCCGATCCTTTTCTACTAAGAGCACCTTATGACGTTCAACAGCTGCCTTAAGAATTTCCTTGTCTGACAGCAATCCTGCATTATACATTGAAACAAAGTTAAAATGTCATTATTGATATCAAGCTGATGAAATCCAGTATTAAAATAACTTTATAAATTGATAAAAGGGAGCTAAAACTCACAATGCACACAATAGAATGAATGGGAAAAAAACCTAGAAAACCAAAAGAGACATGGCCTTTCTTAGTACTAACAGCAACATTTCAAAAACTTTTGAAGAGCAACCATTACAATGGAATCTCTGTCTACTAGGGTTTATGGTTTATTATTTTGACATATATAAGTAATTAAACAGTTGATATTATAGATTTAAATTCTAAAGCAATTTCTGCTAATCAGTTGTGTCTGGATGAAAAGAAAAAAAGAAAAAAGAACGAAGTGATCCACAACACCTACAAAAAGGTCAAGCAACAAAATTTGTTATTTTCTTTTTATGGAAAAGTTTACGGTAAACAGTAACTGATTACCAGTGAAACTGTAGTAACCTGGCTACAAGAAATCACACATTTTAATCCACTCATGTTACCAAATGAGGCAATTCTAAAATTATGACACTACAGACCAGGACAAAAGATGTAAATGAAAAACTTGCGACCAAGACACCTGTGTTCACTGGCAAATAAGCCAAATGCTATCACACTCCTGGTTATTTAGTTAATTCAGTGACAAGTTCAGGTTAGCATAAATCTTGTCTGTGTTTAGGTTCGTGTGTTCATAGAGTTCCATATTTTTAGTTTGTGATATACTTTAAGTGCATTGTCGATACAGAAAACATCACTTACTGGTTGCTCTTAGAGAACTTAATATTAAAGCAAGTGAAGAGAAACAAGTATTCCAGGAAGACAAAGGTACTATTTTGGGGTTATGGCAAGTCAGTGAGGACAGTCCACTTAAAAGCTGTGTAGTGATTTAAATCATCAACACAACTAATACCAGAAAGCTTCGGCCTTTTCACTCTAGAAAGCTCTTTCAAGTTGCCTACATACTCAGCTGTATTAGGTAGCTTAGAACATTGCCTATTTTCTTCAAAGAACGAGCTAGAAATTGTATTTTATCTCACATGGAAGCCTTACCCAATTGTTATCAATTCCACAGACACAGAAGCAGAAAACAAAACCAAACCACTGAAGCCTTATGGTTCGTTAAGGTTTCAAGCAGTGTGAAAGCCTCTAGAATTTGGCAATAATAGAAAAAAATAACCATATGAAGTTCATGATTTGAAATGGATTATGCTCAAATTGTGTCACAAATTCACTAATTTACATAAATACAAAATTGTTCTTAACCTAGTAGACCAAGTGAAAATAACAGTTATTTCAGGAACAAAATGAATTGCCAGATCTATGACCTAGACCAGAAGTAGAAGGCTGCCAGGGAATGTTTGGAGCAAAAATAATTGTAGCATTCTAATCAGAAGTTACAAGAGAAATCATTAGAAATTAATTGCACATTTTACCATCCATTTCACTTTGAATCTTGTTTCTTTCTCTTTCTATCTCACTCTTTGTTTTTGCTGCCTCCAGTTTGACATTTGTTACTTCTAATTTATGTGAATGTTTAAGTTCTTCTACCTATGAATTGGAAAAAAAAAACAACAAATCAACTTAAAATAAATATATATATTTGCAGCTTTACTGCAAGTTTTTCCTGCGATACTTTGCTAACAAGAAAATCTGCCAAACAATCACCAACTACACTTATTTTAAACATATCTTAAATATTTTTATTCATCCACTACTTTCCTGAAGCCAATCCAGAATATCCACTCTTGTAGCTAATTTTCAATGGCGATTATATAGATACTGTAACACTAAAGCTATTGACATGATTTGATTCCCCAGATCATAATCAGTGATATTACAGGTTTTTATTAATTCCTCAAGTCACACACTGAAGATTATCGAAAGAGTTGTCAGTCACCTTGAAATGCAAGTTTTATATATTCCTTAATTCAAAAAAATGAAGTGCTCAAACACAACATACATTCCAGGAACCAGGCTGTCTGACTATTGACATGTATTTCATCTCTAACTAGCCAGTTATTACAAACCACAGTGTAGAAAAGTTACTCTCTTAAGAAGCCTGGGTGATACATGCACAGATGCACAGGATTGCCTGTGAAAACTTGGTTTCTGAGTAAAGACTATACACTCTACAAGACAGCCTCCAAATACTGGGGTGTTTCTGAAAAGACTGCTCATTCGAAACACCTTGCTAGGACACTGATCCAAACTGCCTAAGGCCCTGATGCCTAGCTAACTCAAGCAGGTTAGTTTACACATACTTCACTTCTGACTAAAGATCTTTTGGAGTCAAGCAAAAATGAAATTAAATTTAATCTTCATAAGTAAAACAACACAGCGATATGCAAAACCAGATTATCAATTGCTCCCCCAAGTGATTTCAATTTGGTAGCTACTTATAGTCCCCTGACCTCCTGCAGTGCTACGCTACTTTCTCAGAATCCAGGTTTTCATAGTTTTAAAGTGCATTGTAAATCAAATACTTCTCCATAACTGTGACATACACATCAAATGGCCTCGTAAAAGCAGGAGCTTTAAGAACATCAAATCAAAGACAATTACTGCTTGCACGGAAACTTTCTATAGTTTAGGCATTTGTACGCAGTAATTACATGGTCAATGAGAATTAAGTATCTAGAGGAAAGCACTTATAATGAAAATCCATTCACAATGACAAATGTAATTACAACCTGCTAGCATATACAAGTGGCAAAAGGTTAAGAATGACATAGTAGCTTATTAAGTAACTACATGGTGGATTTGGCTGCTTAAATTCTAAGTTGAGAACATTTCAGGGCAACTTGCAATGATTTAAGGTGGCTTTTTTAAGGCACAAATTCCGGAAGACAAATGTGTGCACCTGTGATCAGGAATAAGTTTGAGTGGGTGGAGAAGTGGGTGGAGGTTAGTATAGAAATTAGTTTTTACTTTCCTCCTTTCAAGAAACACCACTGAACATTTAAATTTTCTCCTACTTCTGGAGGTCAGCAGAGAACACCGGTTGATACGAAAAGTAAAGACCAGAACAATCTCCTATATATTCTCATAGACAATTGATTAAAAAATGTTTAACAGAAGTTTTCCTACTCCTACTTATTATTCACTTGAGACAAGTACAACATATTGTATAAAGAGGCTTTTACATACTGGTGTAGGTATATGCTATTCTTATGGTAAACTAGAACTTTTTTGGATTAAGGACCAAAAATTAAATACTTCACACTCATAAACGTGCACGGTAAAACCTGTTTTGAATTAAATCTCAGATTTGTTAAAGAACAACTATGGTAGAATTTAAAGTTTTTCTTCCTGTATTGTTTCTTTCTTGAGGCATGTTATGACAATACTAACTGCTGTATCCATACAAAGTGCATGTCAGTGTTATTTTGGAAAGTATATTCAGAAATGCAGGATAACTAAGTCAACAGAGAGCTTAAAATAATTCTGCATTCAGCTAAATATCCAAGACCAAAGTTACTGGCTTTACAGTTAGTTCAGAACTACCTAAAGCCTCTCCAGAAAGGTAAGCAAACACAGGGGATTAAATTTGCTACCAGGAAGTGACAGATGTAATAAAAATTTATTATGCAGTGTGCTCTCCAGAAAGGAGGGAATAAGAGACAGCAGAAAGCTAATATTTACTCAAATAACTATTTCATCAGGACTAGTATTCTCACTCAAACTTACATCAAGCAATGTTAAGTATTCTGCAACATTTGAATGCAAAATAGTTTACCAGTGTTTCGATTTTCCTTGTTTATTCAAATAATGACACACAAAACTGCATAATGGATCTGTCTTTTTTAAGTTGTGTAGGTGAGGAGTCACTGCAACCCAATAAAGCTCTGAATCTGGCATCCTTACTAACCTAATTATTCTGAAATACTAAACAGTGATGTCAAGCTTCTTAAGCACTTCCAGGTTTTCCCTAAAGTTGAAGCATTCGGACCTTGTTTTCCTTAGGTATTTTTCTAGAAATTTCTCTAAGATGTCAAAAAAAAAAAAAGCATACAAACATAGAACAAAACCTCTAACATCTGGTGCCAACCCAACAAGTAAGATACTCAAACATGTTGCAAGACAATGGTCTGCTTAAAACGATATGATGCAGTGCTGTTAACAGAAATGTTTCTGTATAAGCTATGCTAATATGACTATCCTGCTTATAATATAACCTAAATCTCTGCAGGTGATTCCAATGTAGCTTGCTTCCTGTAGCTAACAGCCCATTCAGAGGATACTTTTTAAGATCTCCAGAAGCCATAGCTCCATTAAAAAGAAAAAAAGAAAAAAAAAAAGGGAAAACCAAAATCAATTTAAAGCTCTGTTGCACTTTATGCACTTTATGAAAAAGTAATGCTCGTTTCCATCAAATAAGGCTGGCTATTTTCATGACTACTAAAAACATGAATATAAAGACATTTCCTCAAGCTCTGTTCTGTTTAGAAAAAAGATCTAGCAAATGAAATAAAAAGAGCATAACCTCAATCTTTGGAGATATTTTTAGGGATGATGTTTTTCCTGTAAAATCACATATTCTATATCTTCCAACTGAAATTGGGAAAAAAATTCCAAACTCAAAAATTTTAAGTCACAGCAGAAGACAGTGTTACTTTACTCTTAACGTAAAATATAAACAGAAAAACTTAAATATAACAGGATATGAAAAACGCATTTCCGATACTATAAAAGTACTTACTTTAGCAGCTAAGGAATTGACTTCTCGTTCAGATTTGTGAAGTTTGCTAGTTAAGAGAATGTTTTGTTCATGACTCATCCGCAGTTCTTTCTCAATTCGATCAATCTGTAGTTCAGCAGATTTCTTTTCTGCCTTGAATAGAGGAGGTATTTGTAAGATTTTTGAAGCAAGGCTGTGTCTTGCTATTCACTTGAAAGGTTCGATTGATCTGGGCTTTCAGATATTATATTACATTATATTATATTACATTAATATTTCTCTTTGCTCAACAATATGTTGCAATACAACAAAGGTCTTGAGTTTTACTCAAACGTCACAACCGTTTTTCCTAACGCTGCCTGCACAGAATCACACACATTTTCAATCCTGCTTCACAAGAGGCAGAGGTAATCTGACTTGGCTAGGAGGCAGCAGGTATTCCTATCAGTAAATTACTGGGCTGTAAACACCAGTACGACTATGAGTGGTGCTCAAAAAGATGTCATATGTTGGCCTATGCAGTTATACTAACTGAACAATTAATCATGGAGAGGAAATAAAACGCAATTACTGTGAGTATTATAGACTCAAGACCCTGAGGTTTACTAAGTATCAAAAAGGTAATCTAACCTACAATTTGACCTTCCTTTTTCCAAATTGACCTATTTGCAGCAGGACTTTTTTTTAAAGTTTTCTAAATTAATATTACAGCACTTTTGTTTTTAAGCTGCGATCAGAACGTTTTGTAACAAAGGTATACAGTAAAAAGGAAAATGAACCATCTGTGTGCTGCAACTGTGTGAGAAAAATACATAGAAAGACTCACTACTTAGAGAGATAGCAAGAACTGACAGGAGGAATGAAGACCACAGATGAGCAATACAGTGGAACCCTGGGAAACATACAACTGGCCAGAAATACCAAAGGTTCTTTAAGGGAAAGCAACAACCAAGAACTAAACAATTGCAGTAATGCGTGGGAGAAGAGAGACACAGATAGGCAACAAAGAAGACAACACACAAGGAAAGAATTAAAGAAACAGAGGACCATCATATGACATTTTTGAAAAGAATAAAAAATTTACTGTAGCAGATTATTAACATATTGTCACCGGTTTCTAACTCCAGCCAGCTGACAAATGCTGATATGACTGTCGTACTGACTGCAAACACAGGTATCACTCTTGAGTTTAGAAAGGAGATCATTCAACAGAATCTCTCAGTTGAGCTGTCCACCTTTCCAAAGTTCAATTGCCACTACATGACTCTTAATGTACTTACAATTTGTTTTTAAATCTGAAATGTACAAATTCAAATTGTGGTGTCAATGGCAAAATTATCAGTGACTTCAGTGACAGTTTCATCAGGCTAAGCGTTATTCTCACTACACTCTAGAAGGAGGCAAAATAAAAAAAAAAACACAGAAAAAAGAAAAAACAAGAAAAAAATGAAAAAAAAAGGAAAATAATCTTACCTCTAGAGACCTTGTCATAGCCTGCATCTCAGCTAACTGTCTGACTTGTACTCTTTGAACACTTTCTGCTTGCACACCACAATTGTCTCTTTCTGCTCTTAGTTCTGCGACTTCTGCTTCTAAGCCTTTTAATTTCTGACACAGTTGTGCCTTTTCTCTAGAGAGTGCCTCCACACGTTTACTGTCCCTCGTGGGATCAACACTAAGCAGCTGATTATGGAGTTCTTCTTTATCTTTATCCAGCCTTGCAATCTGACAGTTGTAAATCAGAAAAAAAAAAAAAAGCTTTTACATTGGTTAGGTGTCAGGCAGCAACAAATACAGCAGTTGACAATTCAGGAAAGAGCAGCAGTGTGCATTTCAAATATTAAGAAGCTACATCCACATTTATTTTCTTCCTTAGAGTAGGAAAATCAATAGACACATTCTTCAATGCCTTTTTTGCTTCAGTTTTCACTGATAAGGCTTGTCCTCAGGCATCCCTGAGCCCCCTTTACTGTGGGAGTAAAGCAGTACGCAGAGTGGAGAAAGAAAACGTACACACAAGTCCTTGGAATGGATCCAAGCATTTTCAAGGAGCTCACTGGTATCATCGCAAGGCTATTCTCTATCATCCTTGAAAAGTCATGGCCATCAGAGAAGGTTGCTGATGACTGGAAAGAGGCAGACAGCACACCCATCATCAAGAAGAGCAAAAAGGTCAAGAAGGAGGATCCAGATAACTACAGGACAGTCAGCTTCCCATCAGTCTCTGTGAAGGTTCTGAAGCAAAACCTCTTAAAAGTCTTTTCTAAACACATAAAAGACAAGGATACGGAAAGCAGGGTTTACCAAGGGCAAATCATGCCTGATCTACTTCTCAGTTTCTAGAAAGAGGTGACTGGCACTGCAGACAAGGAGAGGGCAGTGAATTCTGTATATCTTGATTTTAACAAGGCCTCTGATACATAATCATATCTGTCACCAAATTGGTAAGATATGGGCTGGAAAACTGGCTGGGAGAGCGATGATCAGTGATGCAAAGCCCAGCTGAGTGTCTGCTACTAGCAGGGTCTTTCTGAGATCAGCACAGGGTCCAATACTGATTGATGTCCTTGTTAGTGACCTGGATGATGGGACGGAGTGCATTTTCAGCAAGCTTGTGGATGACACCAAAGTGGGGGGAAAATGGTCAATGTGCTGGAAAGCAGAACTGCTATTCAGAGAGATCTGGACAGTCTGAAGGAACAGGCTGACTGGAACCTCTTCAACAAGAGCAAGTCATGCATCTGGAATGGTGTAACCCGATGCAACACTACAGGCAGGGGGCAACTGTCTAGGAAGCAGCTCCATGGAAAAGGATCTGGAGGTCCTAGTGGACAAGTTGAACATTAGTCAGCAGAGTACCCTTGCAGCAAAGATGACCAACTGCATCCTGACAGATTGGCAGAAGGATAGCTAGCAGATCCAGGAAAGTGATTCTTTGTCCCTTTCCAGTACTTGTAAGACTGCATCTAGAGTTTGTGTCCAGTACATGAAAGACAATGACAAACTGGAGCAAGCCCAGTGGATGGCCACCAAGATGGTCAGGGGGTTGGGAAACATGACATATAAAGACAGGCTGAGAGAGCTATGCCTCTTCAGCTTGGAGAAGAGAAGGAGATGCATGGTGATGGGAAAAGAAGCAACAGACACAAGTTGGAACATGTGAAATTCCAATTAGATATTAGGAAAAAAGTTCACCTTGAAGACGGTTAAATACTGGAATAGTTTGCCCAGAAAGGCTGAGGAATCTCTATCCCTGCAGATGTTCAAGACTCAACCGGACATGGCCCTGAGCAACCCAATCTCATTACACTTCAATATTTTAAGCAGGATATTGGACTAGAAGGAGGTCTCTTCCAATTTATATTATGATTCCACAATTCTATAACCACAGCAGAACTCAAATCTGCTAGTAACTCAAGACAGCCAATATGACTGGGCCCTGTCAGAGAGAAAATAAAGCAAAAAACCCCCATAAAACCTCTCTATTACAAGGTTATACTATAGGTACAAACTAATCTTGAGACTGTAACTAACAAACGTATTATAAATATATAGATTTTAGTGTTTCAAAATGAGTTACATGGAAAGAATGTAATATTGGAGGCAAAAGAGTAAGAAAGTAAGCTATGTAAGATTTCTCTTGATATTTGCACACTAGTCCAAACTCTGATCTGCAGCAGTGCTTTTAGAAGTTGCACCAGTGATCTCTATGGAGCAAAGCCAATTTCTGCAACAAAAGCCCTCCAAATCCCTTTCATGAGGAGATTCAAACACTTACTGCATGACATGCCCAAGCCATCATTTAAGAATTAGGATGTTTTTATAGCCTCCTTATGCTAAGGAGGAATGGAAGGTTAAAAAGGCTCTAAGAGAGAGAAACTAGATCACACTGTGCCCTGGGCTCAAGGTAGTTTCATTCTCTGTAAGTGTGCTAATTAGCTGCAGGACTAGCACAAACTCAACAAGCCCACAAGAGAGGCAGGCTGTAAAGCAGCATGTGGGTTTAGCTCCAGGAAGGACAACTGTTCTGTTTTTAATGCATTGCATTTGCAAATTTGGAGTGATTTTGGAAGTGATGATTGCTTTGATTTGTGTCTCATGTTTGGACTAATACATTCAAATCTGGTATCTTAGGATATATGCTCCCAGACAAATACTTAAATGAATATGCAAATAACATATGCAACATTCATTTACACTGCTGCATATATTTAAAACATAAACAAGCTGGCAATTTAGTTAGCTACACTTTCGAAAGTCCAATTCTGAAACAGAAAATTCATGAATGGTTTATTCAAGAGTTAATGCAACTGAAATAAACTTACCAAAGTTTTCAGTATCCTTTTGACCACCATTGTCATGATCCAACTTAGTTGCAAAATGTACCCTTGTCTGGTATTAACAATATTTTCTGCTGCCTTCTTCTTGGCTTAGTTGCCACATAAGAAATTTAAAATCTAACATCGGTTGCTCAGATAACTGATTAATTTCAGATTAGCATAACGTCTCAAATTCCATCACAAATGTGATTTAAAAAAGCATTAAGCAAAGCTACTGGCTGTCACTTAGCAGAAGGCAAGTCTATTCTTACTCAAAATAGCACAAATGATATTGCGACACATCACTGAATGAACCTACACAGCTTTCCGCTAAGTCATAACAGCATTTTGAGACTTCAGAGAACGGAAACAAACACTATGTTATGAAACGGTGTCAAACTAACAACCATCAAGCACCAACGTTCTCACAATGTTCAAGGAGCTTTGTCACCAGATACATTCTAAGCTACTGTAACATTCTGTGTACCTCAGCCTCATATTTTATTTTCTTCTCTTCTAAAATACGTTCATGTTCTTCCTTTTGATGTTCAAATTCTGATTTCAGAAAAGTATATTCATAACGAAGTTTGTTATAGTCTGTTCTGTATTTTTCCACTTCCTAAGTTAGACAAAAAAAAAAACAAAACAAAAACATCAATCAGAAAAGTTTTCAGATTTCTTTCCTTGCAGATGTCCATGCAATGTTCCTATCATTTCACAAGTTATATTTGAGGAACTGAATCCCTCCTTCTCCCTCTTCTAGCGTTTCAACCTTCACTGCCTGGGGCAACGGTACCAGATAAAGAACGTCATACTTTGCTCCTCTTTCAGTTTTTTAATTTCCTAAGGTATTAGGAACAACTATGAACTGGTGATCACTACTCTAAATGAAAGAGAATTTCAATACTTACATTTTCTAACTTCCGA